GGCTGGAAAGATGGCTCAAAGGTTAAGAGCACTGGCTGCTCTTCCAGAGGTCCTGAGTTCAATTCCCAGCAACCACATGATGGCTCACAACCATCAGTTATGAGATCTGGTATCCTCTTCTGGCATGCAAGCATACATGCAGACAGAACACTGTATACATAATAAATAAATAAATCTAAAACAATTGATTTGATTGATCAAAAAAAATGAAGGCTAGGACTGGTCTTATGTGGTCCAGAATGGTTGGAGAAACAAACAATTCTATTGGGCTGTGAGCAAAAGGAGAAAGAAAGATGGAGACAGAAAATTTCAGTGTCATAAATGAAAGCATCCAGATAAAAAAAGGAAAAGCCTGTCGGTGTTGGTGGGGCACACCTTTAATTGCAGCACTCGGGAGGCAGAGGCAGGTGGATCTCTCTGAGTTCAAGGCCAGCCTGGTCTCCAGAGTGAGTGCCAGGATAGGCTCCAAAGCTACACAGAGAAACCCTGTCTCGAAGAAAAAACAAACAAACAAACAAACAAGCAAAGAATGGAAAAGACTGAACACAGGAAAAACAACAGTCAAATTCCATACTTAATGTCAGTTGCCCAAATTTGATCAGGCTAAGGATGAAGTTGAGACTTGTAAGAGGTTGAGGCTATGGAAAAGTAGCTGAGAATTCTTCATTTGGATCTGCAGACAGCAGGAAGAGAAAGCCACTGGGTCTGCCTGACTTTTAAAAACCTAAAAGCCCACCTCCAATGACACACTTCCTCCAACAAGGCCATACCTCCTAATCCTTTCAAATAGTGCCACTCCCTAGTGTCCAAGCATTCAAATCTATGAACCTATGGGGGTCATTCTCATTCAAACCACTACACTGGGATTCATGGAACTTTAAGGTGCCTGTATCAACTTCCTTCAACAGTGATCTCATACATCTGGGTTCTCTGGGATATGTAGATTAAAGTCCCACGAACACAGGAAGCCTAGCTCACTCTTGTCCTAAACTTTGCTTTTACCTTTCATCCTCACCCACACGGAATGTGTCACTATGTCCTATAAATGGATGCTTCCTAACACTTGGGAAATCTATCCTTTCTGTACTCCCTCACAATCTCTGCATAACCCCGTCCTCCTCCCTGACCCAGCTACTCTCCACCTCAGCCTTGAAGGATGTTTCCTCTTGTGTGGATCAATAGAATAGTAATCTGGAATTAGTACAAGCTTTTGTTCCTAAGCAAGTTTTTACAATTAAAATATGGTTATACTACAACCTTGGTGGCGCACTCCTTTAAACCCAGCACTTGGGAGGCAGAGGCAGGCGGATCTATGTGAGTTCAAGGCCAGCCTGGTCAACAGAGCGAGTTCCAGGACAGGCTCCGAAGAAATACAGAGAAACCCTGTCTCAAAAAAAAAAAACAAAAACAAAAAAAAAGTATAAGATATTCATGGTTCTCTTTTATTCAGAGTATATTCAAAAGTCCTAACATGCCATATGTGGCTCTCTTCAGCCTAGTCCTCCAAAGTAAGCTGGTAAGCACTCCCATACTGAGCTTTTTGGAGATTTCACATTAACTCTATTTTATTTGTTATGACTCTCAAGTTTTATGTTTTAACTTAAATATGGACTATCTGTCTAAGACTAAAACATCACCCACCTGTATTCTCCCTGCCTTCA